GTGTTATTGGAAGTCATTTTTGTGTAATATTGATAACCTAGGTCAATGTCCTATCACACTGTGGGATAAGATGAAACAAATCCGAAGTAATAAATACGCCCTTATGTATTATAAAACACAATGCTAGATCAATTCTTTTTGTATTGTAAACAATGAACATCTACTGTTAGCGAATATCCAGTCCACTTCAAAGAGCTATTACGTAATTTAATATTTATAAAGCTCCACCACATTACAGCATCTAGGTTTCTCAATGGTTTGAATCCTAGAATCTTGCCTAATGATCTTCCTGCTTTCCAATTCTTAGATGATGCTTACCAACAGACCAATCTTTGGAACTTAACCTTCCATTTTCGCCAATCATGTCATAAATTAGCTCTACCATCTCAAACTCACTAGTCACATTCTGCGTCTAGTTGTGTTACTCTTGAAGAAGAAACCGATGTTTATATAGTTGAGCCAATTAAATATTCTGATAGCAATGATGATAAATTATCGATAGTGTTTTCACTTAAGTCAAACAATCCACCTATCCTTAAGTCCATTCCAAAGTTGTTCTTGTCTGATTCTTTTTGTGCCTTTAACATTGCCTTTGATATGACTTTCCTTCCACGGTTTGATTTTCACCTGGTTGACACGTGTCCAAGGTCATTGTTCGATCACACATTTTTTCTATCGAGATTCGATTTTTGCCTACTAATTATCGTCATATTGCTTCAGCTCCATACTTTGTTAATTTTCATGCCGAGTTTGTCAATTTGTTTTCAATCATGAAATTATGAGCTTGCATTTAATGCGCTTTTTAGGCACACATGATATCTCAATGTTTGTTATGTCTTGTTGCGTGTTTCTTTGAAACAATTTTCAAAATATATAAAGAAAATATTAGATTGATCACTTGAACATAATCTATTTGATTGACTATCGCACTTAAATAAAGGTTTGTTTTCAATATGGTAAAATTGTTTCCTTGTCGAGGCACATTCTATGCACTGGTGTTGTATTCATTTATTTCTGCAGGTCAATCTACCGTGCTAGTACATCATGTTCATCATGTGGAATATGTGCTGACTTTCATGGATGAGGTACACAAGTTGTTGCTGATTGAGGTTCTTTTACCGCTCCTTGGTCAAAATGGAAGATCGTCCACCTTAGTGTTTGAGGCTAATATTTTGTTTCAATTTTCTTTATATAGTTTATTCCGTTATTTGGTGAAGAAGAAAGATCACCCTCCTTGGTGGCTTAAGAAGTTGCAATTTATCTCACAAGAGTTGAGTTCTCTCAACCGGAGAGAAATGATGGAGAATTAGAAGACATTTGACTTATATTAAAATCTAGATTTTAATCATTTACCAAACATGGGCTAAACATAAACTGTAACTACCAACAATAATAAGTGGATTAAATTTGTTTCGAATCACTGAAGCGAACAAACTCGACTTGAGATCATTAAACTTTTAATTAGGGGCAACTGCCATTTTGAACATAAGCAGTGGGGAAGGGAAGGGATTGGCAAAATTACACGTTAAATGGAAAAAACTAAAGTATGAACAATAACAAAATCACAAATCATCTGTAACATGAGAAACAAGCTATGTTTCTTTCATGTTTTAGTATATGTTATGATAACTAATGAATTCAACCATATTCCACTCCAGTCCAGACTAGAAAAACAAAACTAGCAAATGGCTCTGAAAAAATGAAAATAGCTCATCCATCCTTGAATTAACAGATCAAAAAAGAGCTCTTTCAACTAAATGTAATTATACAAATTGGATGTGATTCTTCCAAGTTATTTGCATATCCAAAATAGTTTCAGCATCATCAAAAGCAAAGACTGGCAATCCTTTGCTCAGTAAACTGCTCGCATTTCGATAAATCCACTAACTTCGATTGCGAGTACCACAGTCCCAGCGGTCCGTGATCGTTTTTATAGCAAAAATGGCTGGGAAAAAATATATAGAATAAGTAATTATCTTGTAACTAACAAAATATAGAAAATAAATAATCAGCTAGTTAGTAAATTCAGAAACTCAAAAGTAAGCTCCATTTAGTCCCAATAAATTATGGCCCCCAGCCTAAAGATCAGGGATTTCACAGGCTACCCAAAACTATTGTAATTATAAGTATGATGATAAATTATACCATCGAAAGTAAGCAAAAAAAATTTCAGCCAAATTAAAATTACAATCTCTATAGTTAAACAGTAATCAGGCACAACCCAGATTAGAGAGCACAAATTCCCAGTCCAAAAGAGGAGTTTCAAGAACTGCCTGCAGAGGCGTTGGTGTAAGATCGACTTTTACTACAAGAGTTCAAATAAGGTTCTGACACAGCAAATTCTAAGATAATATGAACTCTTATCACATTCATAACATATACAACAAACCACCTTTTCTTACATTGTAATACCATATCAAGGCATAAAAAAAAGATTAGCCTAAATTGATTTTTTTATTAAGGGATTCAAAGTAAATATCAGAAACATTGAGAGTTGGAAGAGCGGCAGTGTTAGTAACACGAGCAGTTACAATATAGTACTAAATAATAATAAACAGATGTACATCCCCGACTTCCCACCCCTGTTAAAAAAGTAAAGGGTCCTTTAGAATTTCTGCAGCTATGCTGGTGCATTCTAGCTTTCCAACAAGTACAGAGAGAATCTTTTTAAGCGGTTGTCCAACAAATAAAAATAAAAACTGTGCCATCATGATCCTGTTTTATCCGAATCCTCCAATATGGTGGAGAATTCTAACATAAACATCAAAACTATAATCTGGAAAAGAAAATAAGAAAAGGAAACATGAATAATGTGTTTCCTGTTTGGACTAAATTTCCTTCTAATTAACCTAAAAGCTTTTGATTATCGGTTTATATATCAAGCATAGGTTTTTCCCTCTCATCTATAGCACTTATTTTTCAAACTAACATTACATAACCTAAGCATTCCAATGTGTCTAATTGTATCTGTTTGAATGGCTATACATTTTATTTCTACACACACACACAACGAAGAGAAAGAAAATGTTAATGCAAAATGCTGGTTGTACATCACCATTTACATAATCTTTTNTTTTATAATTTCTTTTTGTTTAATTATTTATTTTTATATTTATATATTACAATTTGATTTTTTTTTCAATTTCAAATGTTTTTTTACGTTCTTTATTTGGTTTATATATATTTTTTATTTTTTTGTCTGTTATTTTTTTTTTTTTTTTTTGGGGTTGTTTTTTTTTTTTTTTTTTGATTGATGAGATGTCGACCCAATATCTCTCGCCTCATCATCTGTTGGTAAACAATTCTGTAAGTTGTGATGTACATGTGACACAATCGAATGTTAAAATATCAAATTTGGGCATTATGTCTTGCAAAGCATGTAATCGTAAATTGTCTATGACTGATGTTGGGTGATTGCCTAGCACCTTTCCAGTAGCCTATATTTTTTATTCGATATCAATTTTTTTAGTAAACAAGATCTAATTGTTAACACTTTTATAACATTTTCAATTTTAAATGGATGGCAAACAAGAACAACCACCAATTAATGGCAAAAGATTAGTTGAGAATCTTTGACCTAATTTTATACCCAATCACAACACAAACATTTGGTCTCAACTTCATACAATTGTTCCAACATTTTCCAGTAAGTTACCATCGCATAGAGGTGAATCAATCCAATTACAAAAATGTCAATATAATCAATCAATTAAGCTGCATTTTCGTCTTACAGATTCAGTAACCAAGTTAGTAAATTACCTCACTCCATTTTGACTTTAGCCCCGACTCCCTTCATCTTCTCAATAATCTTCTCAGCTTCCTCTTTGGGAACCCCCTTCTTTAACAATGTGGGCGCCTTCTCCACGAGGTCCTTGGCTTCCTTCAACCCCAAATCCGTGCACGCCCGCACTTCCTTAATAATCTTGATCTTGGCGGCCGCATCAAACCCTCCCTCAAGCTTCAAATCAAACGACGTCTTCTCTTTCTTCTCCTCCTCCTTCGGACCAGCCCCACTGACCTTACCCTTCTGTCCGGCCATTCCTGGTCCAAATCCCATCCCTGGCATCATCATCGCCATCATGGGCATTTCCTCAATTCCCATTTTCTTCCTCAAAACTTCCGTTAAATCTGATATTTCCACCAATGTCAGCCCGGCAATATCATTTACTATAGCCAATACATTCTCCGAGCTACCCGCCTTCGGTTCCTGAGCCGAAGCCGCAAAATTCCGTGGGCAATTCGAGAAATTTGATGGGTTTTCAGAATGGGTTCTGGAGATAATGCTCCGTTTGGAGAGGCGTGAGAGGGTTTGAGAAATGAAACGAGAGCCTTGTAGTATCATTTCTTAAGAAACGTTTGATATATATATATATATATTTTATAGCAACAAAAATAGAGCTATAGAAGTGATGAATGAAAGGCGGAGGCACGGTGGGTGCCTATACTTTCCTGCGGCGGCGGAGGCGACGAAAAGCTGTCATCGGATTTTTAACCCTCCTCCTGTGTTATTTGACTTGGGGGAATGAGTTGGAACGGCCGAGAATTTATGCATAAATAACCTAAAAACAAAGTCATATTTCAATGGCTTTTGACTTTTTTAAAAAATTGAAATTATCTAAAATACCCCAAGAAGAATATTTATCTAAAACTATCAAGATGTGAAAAGAATACAATCAAGTCCTAAAGAATTAAAATATCATAAAATGACTTATAAAAAATAAGATCTAAAAGATGACCATATAAGATTAAGAAAATT